AGTGCGTTCTTTGCATCTACCATTGCTTAGGCATTAATGATGGTGGAATATGTCGCCCTGTTACTGTTGACTGTTAATTTTATCACCGGGAATATTTATCCTCCCCTTTCGTGGGAAAATTCCAGAAACAGCAGCACAGCCTGTGCAATTATGGAGCAATTCCCACTCCATTCCTTTTATCTGGATGAAAGACCAGGTGGTATATCTGCAAGACATCGGTTCCCTGCAAGTATATTGCCATTTGATTCTGTATTTGAAAATTCACCTTTATTCTCTGGAAGGCTTGGAATCTGTACAATCCCCTCCATAGTTTCAAAAAAACCAGTACTTGAACCAGAAAGGTGCACAGTACCCCAGGCACTAAAACTGACTGAGTTTCCATGAATGACTTTGATTGACTGAAGATTTATTCATGGGGCACCAGATAGACGGGCAATTGGGAAACATACTGACGTTCCACATTGATCAACATGCATTGTTTAAAGTTATCTCTAGTAACATCCTTGCACAGAATTGGAGGCTCCCATGGTTTAGCTGTGCTAATCTGTATCTAAGCCCAATGAGGAAAGCATGCATACTCCACATAGGACAAAAAGATACTCTCCAGTGACATGGACTTCTAATTGGTTTTGACTTGGACACTTTTTACATGGGAATGAATTTCTATAGAAAAGAGACACTTGGCTGACTTTTTAATTCTGGTCTTTTGTCAATATTTTCATTTCCGTTTGTTTCCTTTTTAGCCTGTTTCCCTTGCTCTGGGTAAATTTATAAAGTTGAGCAGATGTTTCAATTCCAACTGCTGCTCATTTTTACTTTCTTTTCTGAAAGATTATCCCAGTTTGCTTTCTAGCCTATGTATCCTGGATTCGGGCTGGGATCCTCTCAATGATACTGCGCAGAGGGGTGAAAATTCTGACATGTCCCACGGGAAAATGTTATAGTCCTAATCTCTTATCCCAAGTCTTCCATGATTATTGATAGACTGCTTTCAAATAAACAAATTTGTTTGCAAATGTCATTTAAGGCCTGGACTGAAAGGGTCCATTGCAGCTCATTATAAGTTATAGGACCATATAATTTACCTGTAAACCTTTTGAAAACTTTACAAGAGGTGCCAGCATTTAGGGCCCAGTGTTCTTTTCCAAATCAATTTTTCAGCCCATTTCTGGGAGTTGATGTTTATGGACATTTGCCAGCAGGATCAGACAAAGCTAATTGTGGAATTTCTTATCTGCAGTTGAAACTTCTTAACTGATGTTTGCCAAAAAGGAGATCTGTTGCTTGGTGTACTGACCCCAGACTGGCATTGTGTACATGCTGGAAATGATTTTTTGCCATTAATCTTAATCCTTAGTTTACAGTTTTCTGCAACAAGATAGGAAGCTGTATTTAGTGTGTGCTGTGAATCTGTTCCTTGTTTAGTATTCTGACTCGGTAAGGGTAGATTTGAGTTTTAGTGATGCAGGGGTAAACTTAGCCTTAACTTTAAATTCACTTTCAAAGTATGTAGAATTAACTGCAATGTAGAGAGGGAAAACATGCCAAGGCAAGATTGTACTGAGAAAAAGACAGGAGAGAGGTGAGAACATGGCGACACGGCAGCAATAGCACTGCATGTGCAAGTTCATAATCGCTTCACATCTTATTTGTTCATACATGGGGTTTCACTATTGCTGGCAAGACCAGCATTTCTTTCTGTCCATAATTGCCTTGGTGGTGTTGGTGAGCCTGAATAACTTTTGTTCATGGGTTTGGAAGGCAGTTCCAGATCTTTAATAAGCAACCGTGAAGGAATGGTAATATGTTTCTAAGTCAGAAGGGTGTTTAGCTTGGAGGGCATGTGATGGTGTTTTATGATGTCTACCACCCTTGTCTTTTGGCTGATGTGGTTTGTGGATTTAGAAGATGCTGTCAGAGAAGACTTTGTGAATCGCAAGTGTGTCTTATAGATGGAACATGTAAATGGCGATTGAAGATGTGAATGTTTAAGGTGGGCATGATACAAGTCTAGAGAAAATGGTGTCCAAATTACCAGACAGCACTAAAGCAGTTTGAGGTCTAAGGAAGGTACTAGCATATTGAGAAGTAACAATTGGAATTTGTCAATAAAAGTGAAATGGTATATTTTGATTTTAAAAAATGTCGAAGTAGTGGTAATGCTTTAGGGAAAGCTATATGATGTGGAAGGGAAGAGGAATTTGAGAGTCCTTAGTAGCAAGACAGTTAAAGTATCAAGTGGTGAAGGTCATTAAATGCTAATTCCACACTGGCTTTTATGGCAAGAGGTACAGAAGATAAAAGTTGAGATGTAATGGAAAATCATGTGACACTACATTTAGAGACTGTAATTTTGAACTTCATACTGTTAAACAGTTAGTCAACAGAAAATAAACAGCACAGTTTAATTGAAGTGCTACATATAATACAGTTCTGAAGAGAGTCATATTCTAGTCAAAGCATTGACTGTTTCTCCATCCACAGATACCGACAGAGCAGGTGAATATTTACAGCTTTTTGTTATTCCTTGCAATTACCTATGTCGACAGTGTTTAGCTTTTAATCTCCCAAGATGCTGGTGGTCATGAAGATGAGAAGAATTGAGGCCAATTTTGTTGGAATAGCAGAGAAAATAGAGTGATTTTTTTAAGAGATGTTTCAAATTATGAAGAGATGAGTCATAGTTGATTGAAACTAGTGAAGGGGTTTAGAACATTTTGACCCAGATATAAAATTAAATGTAACAAATTTAGGACAGAACAGAGAGGAAGAAAAAAGTCTCTTTTTTTCAACATTAAAGGTTTGAGTCTGTGGAATACACTACCCGAATTAGTGAATGTCCGGAGAACCATATCAACATACGCTAGTATTGAAACCAAACGCTGGAGAAACTCAACAGGTCCAGCAGCATCTATAGCGAGAGAAATAGCTAAGTTTTGAGTCCAGTATGATGACGACTCAACTGCAGGCTAGTTTAGGTTACATTCATGGTTGAAGGAAAGAGATCAAAGGGTCCAAAAAGTTAGGACTACTGCTTTTGTTGAAGGTAATACCAGTGCAGACTAGTTCAAAGTATTGTGGATGCTGGAGATCTGAAATAAAACCAAAGTTTTGGAGGAGCAAGTCTGACAACATCTGTGGAGAGAGAAACAGCGTTAATGTTTTGAATCCAATATGACTCTTAATCAGAACTGAACATTTGGGCTGAATGGTCTATCTTTATTGTTTATATTTGATTAGGCTAATATCATTAATTTTGAAAGTCTTGATAAAGGATTAAAAGCATTTTCACACAAAGTAATTAGGGTATGTAATGCACTGCTTGGAAGTGTGGTGGAGGCAGGGTAAGTTGAGGGTATTTGATTGGATAAAAATAATGCACAAAGGTATAAGGAGAAGGAGATAACTCTCGGTTAACAATAATGCTCGTTTAAAGAGTCTTTGCAGACACAATAGATTGAATGGTTTCCTTCTGCGCTGTTACACTTCTGTCATTTTGTGGTAAATCAAGGTGGGAGTTAATGAATTTCAACATTGACAGGTTAAGAATCTCAAGAGACTGATTTACACCCAATAGTCACAGACTAGTTGGAAATTACACTAAGTAAGGATTTTGCTTGATTGACATTGAGAGCGCTAATGTTTCTAATTCATCCCAGTGACTTATATTCAAATTCAGTGAAAAATGGTTAAATTTGAAGACCATAGTAAACTAGTTCCACAGTTGATACTGAAGAGGCAGTTCAGTTGTAAACAGAATTAGGCAAAATCTGTCAATGGTAAACAATGGTAAATAATATTTTATAATGAGGGATTGGGAAACCACATCAGTGAGAATGGATGAACTCTAGGCTTTATAACCTACTTCATTCATAATTCTCTCATGACTCTTGGTACCCAAAGATTCAGGCTTTCTTGTAAAACAAAAAAATCTCAGAAGAAATGGATTGATGCATCTGCGCCAGTAGAATGAAATCAGGAAGGAGAATTATAAATCATAAACACAGTATTGCAGATGCGGGAAATGTGAAACAATAAGTGGGAAATGCTCAGCTGGTAAGGCAGCACCTGTGGAGAGAGAAACAAAATTAATGTTTCAGATTCATCAGTTTTAATGAAAGGTCCTCTACCTGAAACATTTTTGGTTGTTCCAGAATTATAACCAGTCTGTTTTTCTCATCCTTCAAGATTGCAGCATCTTTCTGCATCACTTTTGGCATGTTATACTAGAGCAGGAAATTTTCAAAACAGTGACAGACTCTTAAGACAGGATTGCTGAAGACACTATTCACTCCTGCCTTCCACTTGCCTTCAAACCTCCCAATTTAACTTCTGTAACGCAACAACAATATTGATGTGAATTGAAGCCCTGTCTATAAATGTACTTTACGATGCTCATCTTAAACATATTGGCAGGATTCAGTACAATCAGTGATGTTTTTACTATCTGGGTGTAGAAAGATCAATGCCCAAGTAATGTACACTGCTGTGTTATTTTAGTGAGATGTTTCTTTATTCATTAAGTATCTAAAAGTACACTTCAAAACTTTTCCAAATGGGCGTTACAGAAAATATAGCTTTTTTTTTCTTCCTTTGAGCAATTTGCACTCTGCCTCAATCCAATTGTATCGCATCTCATTTAATATATATTCAGTCACAAGCATACAGTCCAAGGGGTTCTATAAATTACCGGCCTTTTGGCATGACATAGCTGAAAGGCCTTAGACAGCGGCTGTTACCCATTGCACTTTAATGATGACCGCCGAAGCTTTAGTGTGTCCCTTAGCTCACAGCCCTGGACTGTGGAATGTGTTAGTCTGCAACACTTTATGCACTGGAATATCAGCAAGTTTCAAGCAGATTTAATGCTAAGTGCCCTTCTCACCTCCATCCAATTTTTTTCTATTGTTTGCTTATGTTGTTCCAGCACACTGCTAGTTGGTGTTGTTACGTTGCATATTTTAAACCATTTGACAATTGTTAAAAGTAGATAAAGCACCATGAGGTACTGTCGTACAGGCAAGAAAATCCCAGGTTTGATTTTGTCTGATAAGTAGGTTGACTTAAGCCATGAAAGTATTTGGTTCGTTACAACTTAGCTGAACACATTCTAAGCTGGAGCATGTATGTTGTTGTTATGTGCTTGACGGTTGGATAAACATGATTTTGAGCTTGCCTACAATGCCCCTCATGGCTTTAGAACCTATCAGTAGGATGGCTAGCAAGCAGCCAGTGGCTGTGGATACATACTCATCAAGAAGCTGAATGCCTTTAGAACTGAGGGATGGAATTAACATTTAAGTCAGATACCCTGGTCATTTTGTAATAAACAAAATATGTATAACCTGATTTGAATACTCAGAAGTGTCATGATTAAAAGTTGTATATATTTTATTACAATATTTCTTAACTTCATACTGAATTACAGAGTATTGCTATAACATGTAGACTGATGCTGCAAATGTTTTCATATGAAAGAATGTCTAGTTTGCAGTTTTTCAGGGACTTGATTCAATGTGATTATGTGCCAAGTCTCAGAAATACCTTGGTCGGAAAACAACCTAACTGTTTTTCTCAATTGCTTTATATGTAATTGTGGCACTGACCAGATCATTTACAGAAAAAAAAGAGAAATAAATAAATAAATAACAGCTTTGGCTGTTAACTGTCCACTGAATTTGGGAGACAAGTCTTGATTGCTGCAGTCATTGTGAAAAGGCGCTGTGGTTTGTGTACAGTTGCCAGTACCTGACCACAGAAATGTAAGGTAGATGGAAGTGACTGGGGCTCAGGAGCATAATGATAAAAAAAAACTTGAAAATAAAGCTCGGCATTGAGTAGCCCATGATCTGTATGTAGCAGTTCAAGGGTCATTCTAAAGCATATAGTCATTGAAAGTTTTGGCAAAGATCTGTAGCTCGGGTTGTGGGTGAAGTTGTTGACTTGCTCGTCGAGCTGGCTTGTTCTCGTTCATTGAGGATTTGATCAGTATGGGTTGCTTTTCTGTATACTAAGGCTTGGAACTCCCCGTTGGTTATACGCTCAACTTTAACATCCAGAAATGGAAGAAATGAACGAGACCAAGCCAGCTCGGCGAGCAAGTCAACAACCCCGCATGTAGTCATTCCCTAACTTTCAATACTGCATGCTGAAAGCAGTTACGTGAGTTAATTGCAAATTCTTACAAAGCCTTAATTACCATTTGAAACGTCAAAAGCAGATTGCTAGGAAAGGAAAAAAAATAAAAATTGTAATGTTTGTGCTATTTTAAACGTGTTTTGTATATCTTTTTGAAAGGTGAAAATATCCAGGATAGAAACTCTGGTCCATAAATGTGGGTGTTAGTGAACCATACAGATCTGAAGGTTTAAATTCCTGTCCATGTTGTGTTCATCCAACACGCTTCAATTCACTGACCTACATTATCTCCTGTCCCAGTGATGCTTCAGATTATAAAATTCTGATCCCTGTGTTCTGATTTCCGTCCCCAACCACCAAATTGCTTTGCCTTTCCCTATCTCTTTAATGTTGTACAACACCCCTTCCAATTTCAGCCTTTTGCACATGATTGAGCTCCAATGGCCCAGATGTTCTATTATATTAAAGGTGCAATTATATAAATGCAAGTTAGTGATTTTTGTGGTTAATTTCAAGCACAATGATAGGATAGTTAACAGGTGGCTTCAGTCACTTTGGAATAGGGAAGGGAACAAAGTTTTAGGGTTTGCAAGTGCTGATGAGAATATGATCAGATTGAGCTAGTGTAGCAAGTTCAAGTCTGTTCTCAGGAGTGAAAATGGCATTGTTTACTCAAAATAACTGTAAAGGAGAGAAGGTAAGGGAGGACATATTACTCGAATGTTTCAGAGCCAGGCTTCAGCTCCATGTGTTCTGATCTCACTTGGGCATAGCTGTTTCCATATATGCTCTGTAGATAATCTTAAAGTAAAGGAATGGTTAACCCTTTTGCTCTACCTTTTCCCCCTAAGTTCTTTCACTGTATCCCTTTTTCCACACTTTGTTCTGCTTGAACTTGTGTAACAGCAAATTACCTCTCGGGTACCTCCACCCTGAAAGTATGACCATGTCATCACCAAAAGTGGAAAGAAATTCTGGATGAGGATGGATCTATGGGAAGCTAGATCATAAGACATGGGAGCAGAAACAGGCTGTTTGGCCCATCGAGCCTACTCTGCCATTCATTGAGATCATAGTTCATCTGATAATCCTCAACCTTGGGATTATGCCATCTGGTCCTAGACTCTCCCTCAAGGGATAACAACCTCTCCACATCTATCCTGTAAAGTTCCCTAACAATCTGCATACGATGACATAAATAATCTGTCATACCCTTTTGCATGGTAAGCTTAAGTATCCTCTCTCCAGAACCCTCTTACATCCCCTCCATATAATTTCATTCCCTCTCGTTATTCAATTAGCTAGGGCAGCACAGTGGCTCAGTGGTTAGCACAACTGCCTCACAGCACCAGGGAAGCGGGTTCAATTCCAACCTCAGGCCACTGTCTGTGTGGAGTTTGAACATTCTCTCCACGTCTGTGTGGGTTTCTGCCAGGTGCCCTGGTTTCTTCCTACTGTCCAAAGACGCACAGGTTAGGTGGATTGGCCATGCTAATTGTCCATAGTGTCCAGGGATGTGTAGGTTAGGAGGTTTAGCCATGGGAAATGTACCGTTATATGGTAGGGGAACGAGTTGTTGTAAACTTGTTGGACCGAATGGCCTGTTTCCACACAGAATGAATGCTATTCTAATCTATTCTCTTGTTCCAGTGCAGTTCAAATGAATTTCTAACAGCCGTCATCTAACCTAGTGCTGCACTGAAAACTCAAAGAGCCAAGAAGATTGCAGCACCACCCTCTTCCCACAAAAAAAGTCTTTGAGTCATCCATTTAAGCTCCTGCTTTGTTCACAGTGGCTGAAATGATGACCCTCAGCATCAGGCATTTCTGGACATGGGCCTCATTGATAGGCCTCTTGTGTACACTTCTTGTATTTTGACTGCTAACATTTGGGATTTTAGTTCACCTCTTTACTTTGAGGTAGGGGTTAAGAAGCAGTTCCACTGCATCTAAATAAAAAGCTCATATTTACAACAGAAACAACTCGGATGCTTCAGGCTATACATTTTTACCCCAGGATTGGAAGGATGGTAAATGATGTGCGTGGTATGAGACCTGGGGCTCACTCTGTACAAGAGGGATCACTCTGCTAATTAAACATTAGCATGAACATACCTCTAATCTTCGGCAGTCCTCCTTCTGTGTGCGTTTTGCTTTCTGACAATACCGTTTCTGGTGTAGGTTCCTCTGTAACATTCACCTGTTATTTGAGAAATTAACTGCTGTGCATATCCTACATTTTCTGTTAATTTGTGACTTCCAGGATTTACATCATTTTAAAGTTCTGTAAGAAATTAATAGTCTGATTGTTCTAATAATGTGAAAAGAGACAGACTTGCATTATTTACAAAGTCAGGTGTTAGGTTGTCAAGGTGGTCTGTCTGCTGGCTTAACTCATTCCAAGTCCGTCAGTGATCAGCCTTTTGACATGGCAGCATGTGATGCTCCCTTGTTTTCGACTCTTGCACCTGACAATGTTGTCCTTTTGATATTGACTTCAACAGAATTTTATTTTCATGTGGTTTTTTTTTTAAAATAGTTTTACAACTCTTCCTTTCTTGTGGTGGCAACAACTGCTCTGTCTCCTAAAGAAAACTTTGTAAATTTTTCCATCAATGACAAATAATGATTGTAAAGAATGTCCTAGTAGAGTTGTCGGTCCTTACCTGTGCAAAATCAATTAGAACATGAAACCTGCTATCCGTTAATGTAGCCTACATCTGATGATTAGTCATGATCATTGAAGCCCGCTGTAGTGGATATGTGGGTTGTTTAGGTATGGAAGACTCTTAGTGTGAAGTTACAGGAAATGACCGACATTTTCAATAGATGATAAAAACTATCTAGGACTGGTCTGACTATTTAAAAAGACAGAATTTATAGTTTCTCCCTTTCTTTTCAAGTGTTCTGAAATGTTATCACCTCATAGCTCAGTTTAAGTTTCTGTCTTCTCCCAACCCATTTCCCCTTTTTTATTTTGGCTCCTGCATGGTGAAACAGATATTGAGACGTGTCCAAAACTGAATGGGTACCTGTTAGGTGTTACTTTTGATGTTTTGTGCAATTTCAATTCTATTTGTTAACAATGAGTACATATTTTGAAATAAGCATATTAAGAAAAGTAGAAGAGAAGGCTGTCCTTTTGGATAATTTAATGTCATTCAAGTCACAAAGCGGTTGTGAGCACGATTGCAGAATGGAACCTCTACATCTAGTCCTTATAGAATTCTTAGTCCCTGCCTCATAGCTGCCTGTTAATGCTGAACATGAAACAAACTAAACGTGTGTTTGAGTGTGGAGGTGGAAAAGCACAGCAGGTCAGACAACATCTGCAGAGCAGGGAAGTCAATGTTTCGGGCTGAAACCCTTCGTCAGGTTTCGGCCCTAAACATTGACTTCCCTGATCCTGAGATGCAATCTGACCTGCTGTGCTTCTCCAGCTCCACATTTATTGACAGTAACTTCCAACATCTGCAATCCTTACTGTCTCCTAAATGTGTGTTGACCTGTGTTGATTTGTGTTGTTTTTTTGTCCATGTTATCAGAATCATACAGTTTAGCCGTCCGGTTAAGTATGAGGATCTGCACCAGAAAGTCAAGACTGTGTTTGGGCAGCTAATGGATTTAAATTACACTAACAATGAGGTAAGTGTTCAAGACTTTGAACTGATTTTATTTGGGGAATTTAGTCTGTCTGCTTGGCTCTCCATGTCCCTTTTGAAGTTACCACTTCCCCTGCACTCTCTACCTTCTGGAACTTTCTGCCTTTTGCCTGAGAACTCATAAGAATCATTTCTGTTATGACGGGAGTTTCCAAACTTTCTCCCATTGGGTTCCCATTTCAATGCTGCAAAATTGTGACCCCTCAATGAGAATTGTAAAAGCAGGGAGTGGATGTGCCTGTAAGAGGAGGGGTATAGAATAGGGAGTACTATGAATTGTTTCATTGTTTCTTTTTGAAAGATTGTAAGTCCTACGACTTTTACTGTTGCAGAAATCTTGAGGTTTAGTCATGTAGGCTGCGCCCACAGGTTGAAAATATGTAGAATCAGCCTTTACTCAGTATGAGCTCTATGGCAGCAATCACTGCTTTGGATCTCGTTATTGCAAATTTCAATTTAGCAATCCCATTTGGGAAGCCCTGTGCAATGAACTAGGCTATTTGCTCTCTCAGCCACCTTTCAATTGAGATTTTGCCATCTAGGCACTCATCAGCTTACCCCTTTCTTCATGAGTTATTCCCATTCTTTGAAGTTGCCATCATTCATTCATTTCCCACCACCCCCCCCACCTATAAAAAGCAAATCTTTGATACTTTAACATGCCCACACCAAGGTCCCTTTCTTATGCTGTGCTTTCTTTGAGAGTCTTGAATAAGATATTATTACATGACTATAAGTTCACCTCACCTATTCCCCTGGATTCCTTTCAATCTAGTTTGCAACCAACTGGAAGTATTTGCAACACTATGGTCAAAGTTGTCCGTAACACCCTGTGAGACTTCAGCCAGAGTCACCTATTTTCAGCTCCTCTACCAGCCTTTAGCTATTATTCACCACATAAATCTGTATTGACTCACCTCCACAAACCTTCTGGATCACACTCGAAGCCCAATCCTTCCTACCTTGGCAAATCCACCACAACTCAAAAGGTTTCTTGTATATTCATCTCCATCCTTCCTGATGTCCTCCTTATGAGCTGCATGCTGTCTCCTCACAGCATTTTCTTAAATTTTGAGATCTACTTTTGTGTGTGTCAGATGCTTGACCTTTATTTCTCCTTACAGTTCTTGATTCCAGGGCAGGTGTACATTACTGGACTTCCTGTCAATAAGAAGTCCAATGATGAATCCTGCAACTGAACTTGGTCTCTTGTAGTACCTGTGTACATTTGGTGCTGATGCCAATATCCTCCTTGGCTCAGGCTTAACGTAGTAGACGACATGTCTGTTTGAACCCAAGTTGAACTTTGGCCCCCAAGTGTGATTGATCATTGATGCTTAATGCATTCCACTGCTGCCTCAAAATTTGCTCAGCACTTTCAAGCAAGAACCTTATAACACAGATGCCTGCTTTCAGGACTAAAGCCTTGCATTAGAAAAATGGCTAGTGAGCTGAAACTGCCAATAAGAACATACGGAATTATTTCTGTACTTTGCAATGCTGTAGCAAAGATTAAGGTTGCATCAGGGTAGGGTCATTAATTGTTTCAAGGAACATTATCACTTAGGTGTTTGTTCTATGGGCAACATAGTGCATAGAAGCAATTACAGCTTAATATGAAAGAAAATATATTTGGTCCATAGCTTTCTTTCAGTTGTATAATGAATATTAAAGTATAACATGAAAATTGCTAATTGCACAAGTACACTCTGAATAAGTCAGGAATTATAAAAGTTTGGCTGGGCTGCAGTGTGGCTTCTACTTTTTCCCTTTGGTTCCCTTATGCAATGGAATCTTAATTATCCACCTGGTGGATAGAAATTGGATTAAGTTGTAGACATGCCCGCCAAGCCAGTGGGTTTGGTTCTGCATCGTCAGTGCGCCTCCAGTGAAGCGTCGGTGTTCTGTCCTGCTTGTTATTTATATGCCTTGGTTTGCTGGTGTGGTTGGTATTACTTCCAGTTCTGTTTCTCAGTGATTTGTACACAGGGTTGAAATCAATGTGTTTGCTGATGGAGTTCTGGTTGGAATATCAGGCCTCCAGGAATTCCCTGGCGTGTCCCTGTTTGGCTTGTGCGATTATTGATGTGTTGTCCCAGTCGAATTCGTGTCCTTCGTTGTCCGTGTGTAGTGATATAAGTGAGAATTTGTCGTGTCTCTTGATGGCCTGCAACTGCATTTATATACACCCCACTTTTGGGAAAAAGTGAACATGAAAATAATAAGATTCTGAATAAGTGAGATAATTTGGCACTTTGACTCCAATTTATTTATCTTGCTAGTTATCACAGTGATTTGTGGAATTGCTTGCATTTTGCAGTTCTTTAGTTTGACTTGTTTTTCTCCTTGTCGTCAGCTACTAATTCCGTTGCGAAGCCAGGATGATCTTGACAAAGCCGTTGATTTGCTGGATCGAAACTTTAACATGAAGAGCCTGAAAATCCTGCTGGTAGCTCAGGAGAAAAACCATGTAAGTGTTAACATTCCTCAGTCCTCAAGGTGAACAATTTGTCTTGGGAGCACCTGGCTCCTTAAATAAATAAAAGCAGGAAACAATTGTGCGAGTCAGGAATCTGGAATGTTGGGCAGTAACTTGAGTAGCAAGCAGTTCTCTCTTTGAATTTTTTTAATATAACTTTGGGTAACCATTCCAGGTCAGCACTATAAAATTCTCCATTGTTCATTTCTCAGGGCCTCATAGGGAGGGAAGAAGCAGGGAGTGTAGCAGACTGGCAGAATGAGGCAACCACAGTTATTTGCAGAGGAAGCAATGTGGCAGAACTTTTAAAGCATGGCTACCTGATTTCCTTGATCTTGTTTTAGTTCAGTCTGTTCGCTAATTTTGAGTGACCCTTCTGCTGAGCAAGGAACAAACAAATGCATGCAGGTTTCTGTCTTGCCTTTTATGGATCATTCCATTAAATGAAGATTCACATGCTATTTTGTTGTCCTTATTCTTGGTTGATGAGGGCTGAGGCTAGAAAAGAATGTTTCAGGATAGAATGCAAGTTTTCTTTACATTTAAACT